CATTATATAAAGGTACAATTCCCAATGAGAAATGTAATTGTGTCGTATACCTACAATGTACCAATAAAAGAATTTAATACAAAAAAAAAAAAAAGAATACCATCTTTATAAGTTTGAGAGATTTTTTTTCTCACAGAGCAACTGATATGCAAATATGGAAAAGCTTTAACATAAGGCTAAATTAGAAGGTTCAGAAAGTCCTATTTTTTACAGTAACTCTAAAATTTTTGATATTGTCCAAGCCATTGTCTTGAGGAGGATCAAGTCTAATAATTTTAAATGTCTTCCCAGTTGAAAAATTTTAAACACAAGCTCAAAGTTTACATATAATGACAGAAATAAGGTAACTCACATTCTTTCTCATTGACTTTACAATCATTGTACTATCATTGTTTATTTCTAATAAGTCTAAACTTACTAGTAGAATGTATCATAGCGTGGGAGATACACATTCTACTAAAGTAATCTTGTGTTATTTTGAACTACTATGAAAATTATCCTTGAAAGAAACATGCATCTGAACCCAGACTATTACTGAGAGTTCTCATACTTCATTTTCATATGAAATAGTATTTATTAAGGGACACATAATAAAGTGTAATAATTTAAAACCTATGTGATATTGTTAAAACTCAGTAGTAACGGCAGCTATTGCTTGCAATAGACCAGTAAACTGTTGGAAGTGTTTTTTTCTCTGACATTTATTATTGCTGGAGCATTATAATAGAATAAAGAAGGAGCTGGTTTTATACTGTTTCTGAATTCTCCACAGAGAGTATGCCCGCTTATTTCCTGCACTTTCACCAGCCTTCCCTTAAGGTACATGAGTGAAATGAAAAGGATCATATGTAGGGAGCCCCTAAAGAACATTGTCCTAATTAAAACAGGGTGACAATGGTCTGAGGTATTTAGGAGACAGTGGAAATATAAAGGAATGGGATAGATGTGAGAAACTCCAAGAGGTGAATAAATAAAATTTAAAATAAGATTTTGAGCTAGAATGATTTGGAAAATAATGTTTTATGTTTGCCAGAAATACAGAGGTTTGGGCCGGGGATTTAGCTCAGTGGTTTTGCCACCTGCTGCACAACCGCAAGGACCCAAGTTTGATCTCCGGTACCAAAAAAAAAAAAAAAATACAGAGGTTTTTAGAGGGGCTGATTTGTGGAGGGAGACTTTAACCTAAATAACGATAGCATCAAAGAATAATTGTTTTTCTGTAGTATCTTTGCCTCTCACAGTGGTCTTGCTAATTTGCAATTACATAAATATTAAAAGAGAAAATAGGCAAATTTTAAACCATAAACATTTTCAAAGAGCTAACACATTAAATTCTATTAATTTAGAAAGTTTAGAAGAGTTTCACTTAAATGTACTTTATTTAAAAAATGATTTTGGGGCCGGGGATTTAGCTCAGTGGTTCCGGTGCCTGCCTCGCAAGTGCAAGGTCCCTAATTCCATCCCTGGTACCAAAAATAAATAAATAGATAATGCAATGTTATCCTAACATCCCCAGAATCCATTATAGATATACCTATTTCATATTGTAAAATAAATAAATAAATAAATAAATAAATAAATAAAATTTAAAAATGACTGACTTTAGGAAAATAAAATAAGAGTGATAATTCAGATAAAATTTTTATTTTGTTCTTGTTTGACTAACATTATGTGACAGTGTGGTATTTTATGCAAATCATTCATTTCATTCTATTTCTGTCAGGCCAATTTCCCTGGTTCCATATGTAACTGAGTCTTTAAATTCCTGGTGGGTGGTTTCCTTTGTCTGTAGATGCCATGGTTGTGATATCACCATGAAATTTCAGGGATAATAGAGTCTGTTGGCGTTACCATAGCTGTTCCAAGTCAGATCTTTCCATTAAATTTTTGTATTGGCTAATAGATACTGTAGATTGTGAGGATATATTCAGTTGGTTTCCTTCTGCCTTCATTTATAACTGAGCCTACTTTCTGTTCTTGAAATGCACTGGGAATGCTCCAGTCTCAGAATTCTTTATAATTGCTTTTTCCATAATTGAGAATGCTTTTCTAGATATCTACACGGCTCACTGCAACTATTCCTTCAGATCTTTGTGCAAATGTCATCTTAGGGAAATCTTTCCTGATCACCCTGCTTATAACTGCAATTTAAACCTCCTATTTCTTGTCCCTGTTTCCTACTTAATTTTTCTCCTTAACAGCTGTTACTATCTAGAAGACCATACATTCTCCTACTTTGTTTATGTCTGTCTCTACTTTCCTTGAGTATTAATTCTAAAAGAATAAGGACTGTGTCTATTAGTTGGCGCCTAAAACCATTGCACCAAAAACAATATCTGGAATTTAGCACATACTCAACTATTTAAATAAGGGAAAGCATGGATGGATGGATGGATGGATGGATGGATGGATGGATGGATAGAAATACGAAAGAATGGTATGAAATGTGTGAATAAATATATAGATGAAAAGTATCAACAATTATAGTATCTTATAAGTTTATGGAACAGATACAAGGTAGAGAAGTATTTGGTAGACTCCATGACAATATTTGACTTAAGTTGGCATCAAATATTATTTATGTATAGTATTTACAGTGCTGTAAAATTGGAAGTTGAATACATTTCTTTTAAAAGGTTTATTAGCTGTGAGAAAACAATAGTTTTTCAGCTTTGATAGAATTAAGCAATAGAGGAAACAGACATCTCTCTGATGATATATCAGATCTCTCTTTATTATCACAATGATTATGCCCTGGGTAGTCTTATAGGAGTGGGATCTCTTTTTTGGTTTGTTTCATTGTACATAAATCCTAGAAGTGCATGAAGTGTAACTCTCCAGTCAGTGGAATAACATTGTAGAGCCACTTTAATAAGTGATTACACTGGTTTGTATGGGACTCTGATAATTGGAGCCATAGAAACTATAAATTGAAGTAATTTGAGCCATTTTAACTCTAGGCAGCTCTGGTCTGCATCTTACATGCCCATTTTGGAGTTTTGATGTATTTGATAGAAGTTTGGAAGAAAGCTCAGCATTTCTCATTGATCACAGTAAAAGACAAATGCTCTGACTTATCTGAATCCCTAATCCATAACATGCACACACCTAGCTCCCTGTAGGCATACGTGTGTGCAGTCCAGATATGGTGCTACCCAAACTCTGAGGCAAGGAACAGTTGGATTCCACAGCAGAACAATATTGAACATGTTAAAGCCAATAGATTGTGACTTCCTAAGTACTTGCCTAGTTCTGAGTTTTCTTCTCCTTTTTGAGTATGGGGATTACTGTTTCACTTTAGGGCAACTCATCTAACAATAACTGCTTTGCCAAAATGTGCCTTTTTTTGCATTGAACAGTACTGCATTTATTTTATTCTGTACTGTGTGCTTGTGTTTATCATGTCTTTGTATTGTATTCTTTGCATCCTGTAGCATGTTTGCTGGTGGTATGTTTTCTCTTTGATATTTCAACCAATTGACATTATTAGAGATGTTTTCATCTATAAAGAAACTAGTTCTTAAAGTGTTCAGTGTGCACTAAGATTTCCATTCCCTTTCTTTTCCAACTGAATGCACTAAGCATCACTTTAAAATTCCTCTCTGCTTCTAGGATTCTAACATATTTTCACCTTATGAGGTCTGCTTCTTGATAAATTTTAAAGTTGTATTAAAATATTCAAGATTACAGAAGCTATAGCCTTTATCTTGTACTTCCAGGCAAATATTACAGTTCCTTATTTTTCAACAGCTTCGCAAAGGCTGAAAAATTTGCCTCGTACTTCCCTCAAAGCCAAACAGTTCCTTCAAACTCCATCTACAAAAAGAGGTAACTACAGCCTCTAAGTTTAAAATTTCAGCAAATGGGGTAGTTAAATCTTAGACTCTTGGCATACTTAATCAGTGATGTCTGTAAGGCACGTTTTAGTCTTTTTCTTAATAAGATAATGTGGATTTATTCTCTGATACGTGGATAAATACAGGAGAAACATTTTCTACAGAGGTATGTATTGGGTTGCTCTTCTGAAAGGAGTACATAATAGAGAATTTATTTTTTCAAACCAACCTAAAACTAAGTATCATTGTTTTAATTTAATGTGAGTTGAACCAATATGCGCTGTAAAATGGACCAAATGTCAGACATTCTGTGTGTTAATGTTTTTTTCCCCAGGCATTGATTTTTTTAGTTCACTTCTATGTGAAATGAAATGGGAGCACTTTTGCATTAGAAGCTGATTAAAGTTACAACACAAATTATGGTCCAGCTGATATGTTTGAAATATTTATGGAATTGGACCTTTTGTAAGATCTGACTGCCAAAGAAATATAAGTTAGATACTAAAGCTGTATAATATTGGTTCCAAGAGTTTGGGTGTATGGGTAGGTAGAAGGAAGTAGAATTATAAAACAGTCTTATTAAATAGACCAGCAGTAATAAGAATGAATAGAAGTCACAGAGAAAATGAGTTAGAACAAATACAGGCAATGAGAAAAAATATTTCCTCTATCCAGGACATGTGAATTTCCTGATAGCTTCATAATTTAGTAAATAACAGAGATATATAAGGAGCATGAAGCAAATTATAAGAGGAAGTTTGAGATTTGATTTGTTGAGGAAAAGGTTTAATATGGTTACAAAAGTACTATAATAGATATTTTGGCAAATTCATTATTTTTAGTGTTTCAGCAGTAATTTAGTGGCTTGAGTATAATTTAAAGAATTAGTTTGAAATAATAGAATCTGAAGGAAAGAGAATAGCCAAGTAGAAGTATAGGATGTGTGAATGTTTATTTGTTAAATATTAGAAGTTGACCATAAACCTACAATAAAGATATCTTCTGGTGCCATGGTCAGAAAAATAGACTGCATAGATTATGTTCTGTTCTTTTTTTTTTTTAATAATCTTTTATTTAAGAAGTTGATTGAAGTTTCCTTTTTTTTTTTTTTTGGTTACTGGAGATGGAACTCGGGACCTTGTGTTGCGAGGCAGGCAACAGCACCACTGAGCTAAATCCCCAGCCCTAGATTATGTTCTTTTAATGGAAAAGGAAATGACTCATTGGGGTCTTTATAGAAAGGAATCCTTACTGATTTACCAAAAAAGAAACATAATTACAGTACTTTCTTTGGCACTGCAGTGAACAGTATTTACTTAATCATAAACTGAGCAGTTTTACTTTTTTTTTTGGCACCAGGGATTGAACTCAGGACCTTGCGCTTGCAAGGCAGGCACAGCGCCACTGAGCTAAATCCCTGGCCCTGACCAGTTTTAACTAACAATTACAGTATAGCTGTATTGGTAGTAAAAAGGACAAGAAGTAGATGTAAGGGACAAGAAAGTTAGATCTTGTTTAATCTATAAGAAAGCCAATAAAGTATAAAAATCCAAAGATGATGATTCAAGCCAAAAGTATATACCTAACATAGAAAAAATGGAGAAAAATAGGAAAAAAAAAACCCACTAAAAAAGAGTTTGGGATCCAGCAATCCCACTACTGGGTTTATATCCAAAGGAAATGAACCAGTACATTGAAGATGTGTCTGTACTCCTGGGTACAGTGCAGCACTATTCACAATAGCCAAAATTGCATCAACCTAGATGTCCAACAATGGATGAATGGTTTTTTAATGTGGCATTTATACACAGTGAAATAGTGTTCAGACATTTTAAAAGATGCGATCCAGCTAAGGAGGCTGAAGCAGGAAGATGAAAGCCTGGGCAACTTAGTGACTTAGCAAGTCCCTGTCTCAAAATAAAAAGTAAAAAGAGGGGTGGGAATGTAGCTCAGTGGAAATGCCTTCAGTTCAATCTTCAGTACTAGGGGGTGGGGGTGGGATGAAGTACTATCATTTATGACAATATTGTTGGACATGGAGGACATTATGTAAAGCATAGTAAGCTGGACACGGAGGTACAAATACAGTACTGTATGGTCTCATTCAATATGTGACTTCCTGTGGAGCATGCCTGTAGTCTGACCACTAGGGAGGCCAAAGCAGGAGGATTGCCCTGAGTTTAAAGCCAGCCTGAACTGCATAGTGAGACCCTCTCTCAAACAAACAAAGAAATATATGTGGCTTCTCAAAAAGTAGATTTCATAAAAGTAAGCATAAACTAACAGTAGTGACCAGAGATCACTATTAGGGAGTGGAGGAAAATGAGATTTGCTAGTGAGTATAAAATTATAAGGATAGGAAGAGTAACTTCTGGTGTTCTACTAAGGTGACTGTGGTTAATAATAATGTACTGTATATCTCAAAATAACTGGAAAGGGTTTTTTTTTAATATTCTTACCAGAAAGAAATGATTAATGTATAAGGTAATGGATATGCTAATTATTAGCCTGACTTGATCATTATACAAAATGTATATGAATTGAAACATTGCATTTTGCCCCACAAATATGTATACCTTAAGCTTCTGTTTTGAGACTTACAGATTTTTTCGTACTGTACTTCCTTGGCTGTGGGTGGAAGGCAGGCGAAAACAGGTCAGCAGGCTGGAGGTGTGACTCAGTGGTAGAGGGCTTGCTAGCCTGTGTGAGGCCCTGGGCTCAATCCCTAGCACCACGCAAAAAATTAAAAACCTAGATAGATAAGCTGGAGGTATCAACAATTGTGGTATCAAAAACAGGGCAAAAAAAAAAAAAAATCAGGGCAAGAAACTACTATGCTATAATAAAAGAGTAGGGGATTTTAAATTTATATAAATCTTATTATATTTGTAAGCTGCTTCATTAAGGGTTTTTTTTTTTAACCAGGTGGGTTTATATAATTTTAAATGTTTACTTAATGATTTTGTATATTTACTGGGGTAAAAAGACTACAGTTTACAGCTGAATTTTTAAAATTTATCTTTTGGGATCACATTGTTTGTGTGACTATGAGCTACCAAACTGCCTATCCTCCATGATGAGATGACAAGACAGCTGAGCCTCAACCTGTATGAACTGGGATGACTCTACCTCTAGCTGTCTTGTTAAGTTAGTGAAAGGAAGAAGTATTTGTATGTTGTGTGTTTGGTTTTATTGTTCTGTTTTGTTTTATCTCTTATTCAGTGATCCAGTCTCTTACATGTTCTGGTTGATGTTGTAGTTTGGTAATTCTCAATATATATACCCTTTCTGTTTAAGTTGTGAACCAACTGAGAAGCGGACAGACAGGTATAAAGTAGAATTTAAAATACTAGCTTAGGGCCAGGGATTTAGCTCAATGGTTCCATCGCTTGCCTTGTAAGCGCAAGGACCCGAGTTCGATCCCTGGTACAAAAAAACAAAAACAAAAAAACAATAAAATACTAGCTTAATTACTAGTGAAGCCAGATTTAAGAATACCTGATGGATCCAAGGCTTAAACCTCTCTTCCAAGTGTAGCCATTTTTCTGAATTTTTTAGCAATCACTTCCTTTTCTGTATGCTTTTATTATCCAGTTAATGAAGCTGTAGTTTTGTCTTTTTAATATGTCTTTTCTTGAGTTTCTTTTATAGTTGTCCTCTATCCTTTTTCTTTTTGTGTATTTGTTTGTTTGCTTGTAAAAACCATAAAGTCATTTTTTCTGCAGAGGTTTTTGAAGACTGGATGATTATTTTTCCCTAGCATTTTTTAGTAGGTTCACCTGTCTTTTCTGTAAATTGGTAGTTGGATCTAGGAAATTAATTTGATTCAGTTTGGTGTTTTGGGAAAAACTCTTTATCATAGGTAGTGATGCTTCTTCCTCCAAAGGTGTAAATTGTGGGGTTTTTCCCCTTTTCTGTGATGTCAGCAGTCATTGATGCTCAGTGCCTAGATCCCTAATTCATTAGGTATCACAGAATCAACTGTTTGTTTTGTTGATTTTTTTCTTTTTCTGTTTGCAATTTCATTGATCTTCACTGTATTATTTCCTTCTTGCTTTGGCAAGAAGTATACTTTTCTTTTCTCTTGAAGTAGGAACTTAGGTTATTGATTTAAAACTTTTCCTCTTCCTAATTATGCCCCATACTATTGATATGTTGTCTAATTTTTATTCCAGTCCACATAGTTTTTATTTCCATTGAAAAATATTATTTAATTTCCAAATTTTTAAAGATTTTCCTGTTATCTTTTTGTTACTGTGTCTAGTTTGCTTCTATTACAGAGAATATTATAATTTCATTTCTTTTAAAATTGTTGATACTTGTTTTATGGACCAATGTATGGTCTTGAAATACCTTCTCTGGGCACTTGAATGCATCTGTAGTAAGTTGTTGTTGACTGGAGTATTGACTAGGTACTTTTAAGTGTCCATTAGTGCCTATGGTTGATGGTGTTCTTGAGTCTTTCTGTCCTTATCAATTTCCTGTCCAGTTTTGTCAGTTGAGAATGGTGACTGAGAGGCGCATTTGCCTCCTCCATTCAGTTCTTTCAGATTTTCCTTCACATAGTCACAGCTCTGTTGTTTACTATGTGAACATTTAGGATTGTATATCTTCTTGGTTTGAGCATTATATCATTATGTATTATACCTCTTCATCTTTGGCAGTTTTCTTCTTAAATATCTGATATAGCTTTGTATTGTTTGAATGAGAGAATGTTTTTCATCCTTTTATTTGCAACCCCTCCCCCCAATATTGTTATACTTGAATTGAGGTGTTTGTGGGTTTTTTTGGTACGGGGGATTGAACTCAGGTCCTTAGCTTGCGAGGCAGACGGTGGAACCACTGAGCTAAATCCCCAACCCTAGAATTGAGTTTTTGGTAGACAGTGTAAAGCTGTTTCTCAATCCACTCTGCCAAATCTTTTAATTGATGTATGTAGGCCATTTACATTTCATGTAATTATTATCATATTAGGGCTTATGTCTGCCATTT